GGGAGCGCTGATGTGGGCAGCGGCTCGGACCCCGGGCGCCTGCACCGAGGGAGGCGGCTTTGGCCCTGTCCCATGGCCGCCTCACAATTGCACAGGACGCTCTGCAGGTGCAGGCGAGCCAAGGGGAGTGGGGACGTGGCCCTGAGCTGTGGTCACAGCCATTGACAGTGTGCAGCAGATGGCAGACGCCAGGGACGCAGGAGGGGCCTCGGACACAGCCCCAGCCCTGCTTGCTCCCGGCCCTGGCTCCCAAATGACCGGGCTACTTGTCTGTCTCAGGAAACGGGCATTAGAGAAAGAAAAGGGAACTTTTCACATTGAATGTTGACTTGTATGTGTGCACAGGCACAGCCTGTGTGTTCATGGAATTTTATTTTTGTAAAGTTCTTTGCCACTAACTCAGCTCCCTGTCGGCCCGGGGTCCACAGTCGCCCTGGGCTGCTCCCTTCAGGGCTTCGGGTGGGGTCTGGTGTCCTGGAGCGGTGCCGCTGGGGGTGGGAGGAGCAGTCATGCTACACAGTTCACATTTACACCCAAGGGTGCAGACTGGGGAGGTGGCCGGGCGCTCGGCCCTGTGTCCTGTCTGCGTCCCCACGGCCGGCGGGAAAGCTGTGCCGCCACCTCCGACCGGCACATTCTCTGGGGGCAGCTGTGCGGACAGCGAGTCTTTCCTGCTGAGAGCTTTGGTGACACCTGGAGGTCTGGGACCAACAGCGGTCCCTGGCAGGCATCACCCAGCACAGCCCACACTGCTTTTGGGAAGCAGTTGCCACCAGCTGCACTCGACACTACAGTGCATTTGCGAAACTGTTTGCATCCAAGACAATAAAAAATCTTATTTTTTGGAAAAGTCTGTGCTGTGTGGCCTTTGTGCTGCCGGTGGAGCTGTGTGGGAGATGGGAGAGGGCGGCGTCAGCCCGAGCCATCTGGAGGTGTCTGGAGGGACAGGGTCCCGAGAGCCTCACCCCAGGGCCGTGGCTCTGCCCTGAACCCGTGTGTCCAAGTGCTCGGTGACCCCGTCTCCTGGCTGGTGTGGACCCAGTGCTTAGAGACACACTGAGTTCCCAGCCCAGCAGGGCTGTCCCTTCGTCCAGATACCGAGAAGGTCTCAGTCATCCCTGTTTCTAAAAAGCTTTCCTGTCCTCCAACACCGTCCTCCTGTCCCCCCGCGTCTTCCCACCTGGCTCCTGGGGCCCGGACAGGGTGGCCGCTGTGAGGAGCCCACCCTGGGCGAGCTGTGGGCCAGGCCCTGGGAAGGCCGCTCCCGGGGAAGCCGTTGTGACAGATCCGGGCCTCGGAAGCGGCCTGCAGGGTGGCAGGAAGGACGTCTCTGCTCCTGTCACATGAGTGAAGCCGGCGGGAAGGGGCCGGTGCCGGGCAGACCCTGGCCTCAGTGTCTGACGCTCAGGTTCTTCTTACGGAGTAGAAGCCAAGTTGTTTCTGAGGTAACAAGCTCCCTGGGTCAGAAGACAAAAAGGCCTTGTTTTTGGTTCTAGGGATTGAACTTGGGCCCTTTTGTGTTTTTGTGAGTCAGGGGGTCACTGTGTAGCCCAGACTGGCCTCAGACTTGCGGTGATCCTCCTACCTCAGCTTCCCAATTACTGGGTGTACAGGTAGTTTAAAAGTCCTTTTTTATCTTACAAGTGGCCACCATTCTACTGTCCAGCCGAATCTGGGGAACTGTCCGTAATGTCCTACCCCTCCTGCCTTCGTCCCCCCTCAGCACCAAGTCCTATCCAGTTTATCTTCTCAGTTTGTTCCCTCTGCTGTCACCCATGTCCAAGTCGCACCATTCCCATCCCTTCTGTCCCTGCCTCAGCCTCACAGTGAGGATTTGGGGAATCGAGTCCAGGTCGCTCCCTGCATGGTCCTTTCCCCAGTTCTGTCTGTCGGGACCCTGCCAGCCTTTCCAGCCTCCTCTTTTTTCAGACCGGATCTCACTCCATAGTTCAGGGCATCCCTGGCTACCCTGGAACTCAGGTGATCCTCCTGCTTCAGCCTCCCAAGTTCTGGGATTACAGGTATGTGCCACCACCCTTGGCTCTTCAGCCTCATTTTTGCTTTTTTGGCTCTTTGCTCTGTGTGTGGTTTCGTTTCGTTTTACCCTAAGGTTTTCTTTCTTTCTTTCTTTCTTTGGTGACCGGGATCAAACTCAGAACCTTGTGCTTGCGAGGCAGGCAGTGGAGCCACTGAGCTGCATCCCCGGCCCCTACTGTTTGCTCTAGGCCCATTCATTGCCTCTGCTGAGCCCTGTCCTGTCTTGCTTCTCCCTTCTGCTCACCCCTTAAATCGGGAACCAGCCCTGGTCCCCCAGCCCTGGCAGCTCACTGAGCAGCCTGTGTCCTCTCAGGGTGCCCTCGTGTTTGGGAGTTCGATTCCTCTCCCCACCACCTCTGGCCCACAGGACAGGAGTCCGGGTCCATTGGCTGCTGGGCCTGGCACAGCATTCACACCAAGCACTGTGGACGGGGCCTCAGCCTGGACCACCCACCACCCCATCCTCAGGGTGCAGGGTGGGAGCCAGCACGTTCTGTAGATGCTGGCTAAGGGACTCCTGCAGTCACGCAGGAAACATTTAGACTTTGACCTGAGTCATTTAGGTCATGGATATAATCTCTACACGCCCTGGGCATGGTGACACATGCCTGTAATCCCGGCCCTGGAAAGCTGAGGCAGGAGGATCTCAAGTTTGAATCCAGCCTGGGCAATTTAGCATCTTAGTGAGACCCTGTCTGAAAATGTAAAAGGGCTGAGGGTATAGCTCTGGGAAGGCCTTGGAGCATATACACAGTAATGCGTCATGCACACAATGCACCTGCACACATACGAAAGATAAATTTCCAAATGGCATTAAAAAGCATCTCATTGTGATGTGGATTTAGATCCAGAGACCACAGTTTTGCTTCTTTTGGTTGCTCTCTTGTGGGTCTGGGTTTGAATTTCAATTTGTAAAGGATGGGATGCTCACTTGTCCTCGCCTTTACCTCTCCCCAAGTTAATAAACAGGCTTTTTCTCTTTTAGTTCAGCCTCTGTAGAACACATGCAGTCACATCCATCACCCCTCAGCCCTGACTCAGAGAAAATTGTTTTTTGTTTTTGTTGTGTTTTGTGTTGGTTTTCTGAGACAGGGTCCCACTCTAGTCCAGGCTGGCCTTGAACTCACTGTGTAGCCCAGGCTGGCCTCATATATGATCCTTCTGCCTCAGCCCCCCAAGTGCTGGGAATACAGGCATAGGCATCACTCCCAGATTTTCGTCCCTTTTATTGTCTGGACCCATTTACATGTGGCACAGGAATCGTTTTTCCTTAAAACGGTCTCATTACATTGTCCAGGCTGGCCTTGGACTCATTATGTAGCCCAAGCTGGCCGCCTACTTACAGAGATCCTCCTGCATCAGCCTCCTGAGTACTGGGATTACAGGCGTGTACCACCACACCCAGTGACAATTGGGTTTTTCTGGGCACCTCACCTGCATCTCCATTATTTCAGAGCAAAGCTCAGCACGTGTGGGTTTCACCTGCTCACACTGTGTCAGGGCTGCATTGCTGCTTGCAGCTTGGGTCACTGTGGAGCTCCCAGAAGCCCGGGGGCAACTACAGACTGGAAGGCGGGGAGCAGAGCGGGCCTGGGCAGAGTGACTGATCAGATTTTCTGTTTAGCTGAATCATTAGCTAGAAAACCCGGTTGTTTAGAAGGGGAAAGCAGTGTGAGATAAGAGTCCTTTCCTGCCTAATCTCTCATCTCGCTGACTGACTCAAGCTCCGGAGGAGGCCGGCGGGGCCCTTCCGTTACATCCCTTAGAGGGGTGGGCCGAGCCGTCCTCCAGCCGACTCCAGCCTGTTCTGGCCGAGTCCCCAAGGCCACCCAGGATGGGCCCCGGAGCCAGGTGGCAGGAAACAGCCTGAGGGACAAGCACAGTGGGCCAGGGAAGGAGGGACCTCGGCCACAAAAGCCTAAGGGAAGAGAGTGCAGAGAAGACTCACCGAGTCTCACACCTCCGAGGCTCCGGTTTTCCTAGAATCCCTGCCCTCCGTGGCCACGGGATTTCCCTCCAGTCATTTCTTCTGCCTCTGCTCTTTTCTCCAGTTCCACTGACTCAGTTTCCTCTTCAGATCTCCCCTCTACCAACCTGGCTGTGACCGCCGCAGTCCGCTGCTCTGCACCCGCTGCCCCTTTGCGGCTCCTCCCGACCTCCTGAACACGCCTGGGCTGAGCTGTCCCGACCCGCACAGTGTCCCGCTCGCTCCAGGTCACAGCCAGGTCCAGGACACTCGTGGTGGGCAGGGCCTGCTCCGTGCATTTCGTTACTTTTTCTTTCTTTCTTTTTCTTTTTTTGGTTTTTTTGAGACAGGGTCTCACTCTGTAGTTGAGACTGACCTGGAACTCACTATGTAGCCCAGGCTGGTCTCGAACTCACAGTGATCCTCCTGCCTCAGCCTCCCGAGTG